GACAGGTGAGTAGATGGGTGGACAGGTGGGCAGGTGGGTGGAATAAATGTTGGAGAATGGCTAAAGCAGTCAAAGAATGAAGAGATGGACAGAAGATGGATAAAGGAAGGAGGGAAAGGTAGGAGAGTGGGGGAATGAACAGAAAAAACAAATACGTGTAGATAAATGCATGGCTAGAAGAATAAAAGGCAGGAGGGCAAGAGAGAAAAGGATGGCAGTGGGGAATGAGGGGACAGAGGGTGTTGGGTGGGCTGGAGAGAGGGCCGCTGGATGGGTGGACAGCAGCTGAATTTAAGTGCTTCCTTCTCTATTCCCACCCTCCCTGGGTGGTTCCTTCTTTCTTCCTCCCAGTGACAGGACACCCTCCTGACAGTACAGATGGGGCTGCTCAGGGAGCCCAGGCAGCTAGCTCAGGCAGCTGGCCCGGCTGCAGTCAGGCATGGTGTCCGCCCACCCCCTTTCCCCAGGGGAGGCTCCGCCCACCAAGGACCCTCAGGGAGCCCTACTCCGCTTCTTCTTGCGCCTCCTCTTGCTCCTCTTGCCCAGGGCTGCAGAGCACTCAGAGCGCACGGAGGAGCTGTGGACGCTGGCACTGTCCAAGTCCGACTCCTCCCGCTCGTCCTCCTCACTCTGCAGGAAGGGAGGGGCCTGTGAGCCAGACCAGGCGGGGCTCATCCCAGGGCCCTGGAGGCCTGGGTGGTGTGTGGTGGGGCAGGGCCAGAGAGGGCTCTGGGGACAGTGAACCCTGGAGTCCCCCTCGCCCCCCAGGCCACAGCCCAGGCCTGGCTGATGCCACCTCACGCTACTGCCCAGGCGCTGCCCTGCCTCCTGCCGAACTCCTATACTCCCTTCAGGGAGCAGGGCCAGAGATCCCTCCAGAGTCTCCCCAGATCTCTCCTTGGCTGGACCCACAGGACATCACCAGCTCCCTCTCGGTGGCCGGGCCACCACAGCTCAGCGCTGAGCTGGCATGTAGTAGGTGTTTATCAAATGCCTGCTGAGTGGAACTGCGCTGCTGGGCTCCCTCCAGAGCATCCTACATCATGCCAGGCCCCTTGAGGACCCTGAAGGACCCACTGACTCTGCCGCCTTCCACTACATGGAGCTGCAGCTGTAGGCTGGACAGAGACCTGGCCAGAGTCTAAGCTGGAGGCTCCCTGGAAGGATGAGGTCTACAGCCTTAGCCAGACCCCAGGGAATAGGCCCAGCAGGCCACAGGAGAGTGGAGAGGACCTGCCCCGGCAGGCTTGGGAGAATGAGCTCCCTGGTCAGCTGTTGTCATCCCCACATGTGTGTGCACACCCTCTCACCGAGGAGCCTTTCTTCCTCTTGTTGCTGATCCCTCCGAAGCGGAACTTGAGCCCAGCCACCTTCTTGCCCTTCCCCTTCTTCTTCCCATCTTTGGAGCCTTTGATCTTCTTCCTCACTCCAGGCCCTGAGAAGCAAGGGTCTCAATTACCAGTGACAGCCACTGCCACCATCCCTTCCCCAAGCCCTCGCAGTAGCCGGTGAGGAGTCAGTCATTCCCACCACAAGCCCTTTCCAGACAACATGACAGGGCCGAGAGGTGAAGTCCTTGGGGAAAACCAGAGACCAAGCTGCCCTGGGTCTGCCTGCCCTGGCCACCATGCGGTCCCTTCAGCACAAACACCTGGACTGCTGGCCACACTGTCCCCACCCAAGCCTCCACGCTGGCAGGTCCATGGAGGGCACAATGCACACCTATGGTCCCTGAGTGGGCCCTGGAAGGCCAACCAGGCTCCCCAGGCCCAGGTTGTCCAGGTACCACCTGTGGGCACTACCCAAAGAGGATGACACCCCACTCAGTACCCTGTCCTGCTGCTGCCAGGATGAGCAGGGCAGAAGGGGCCTGGTCTGGGGATCCACACCGTGCACAGGTGGCCTTGCCCCAGGACTCACTCTGGGCCACACAAGGACACAGGGCTGGGGGCCCAGCTGTGCCTTCAGTGGCGCCACAGAAAATCGATCTCAATGTTTCAAGCTTTTGTTAAAGGCAGCTCAGGGAATCAGTGGCTCAGCAGCCAGAGCCCAAGAGAAAATGAGAAAGTAAGGAAGCTGACAGGCGGGTGATGGGCCAGGCCCTGCCTGAGTTCCAGTGACCAGGATGGAGCAGAACGGGCATGGGGTTCTGGCCCATGTCACTCACCCACCAGGTCCCTAAGACCTGGCCCAGAAGTGCCAGAGACAGCATCTTGTATCATCCCAGAAACCAAAGCAACTTGGGGTGCAGAACTCTCTAAGCCCTCATCACAACCCAGATCAGCTCCAGGGAAGGCTGACACCACCAGAGATAGCCCTGGGCAGAGTGATGTCCCCAAGCCTCCCCAGCTATTCCCCTCCCCTGAGCACACACACCCAGCAGCCATGGAAGTGGACCTGGATGTCTTCCAGGCCTCCCTGTAAAGTAGCCCTGGCGCTGCCAACTCTGCTCCAAACTCTTGTACACAGGGTCCCAGAGTCAGAAGGCAGGGACTTGATCTTTGGGCCACCCCTTGGTCTTAAAGAAGGACCCAGAATATACAGTGAGCCCAGATGAGAGGGGTTGATGGGCTCACCTGGGGCTGCCTCCAACTTAAAGCCCCAGGCTGGGACATCTACCCCACAAGTCTCCCCTGTCCTTGCCCAGGTGTAGCTGGCCTGCTGGGCTGCCTGGTCCATGCCTCCTAGAGCTCTGCCCACATCATCTCTGTCTGTTTGGGTTTTTATTTTGTTTTGTTTTGGTACCGGGGATCAAACTCAGGACCTTGTACTTGCAAGGCAGGTGTGGTGCCACTGAGCTAAATCCCAGGCCTGTCTGTCTATTTTTGAGACAGGTTCTCGCTATGTAGTTGAGGCTGGCCTTGTACTCATTCTGTAACCCAAGCTGGCCTCCAAGTCTCTGCAATCTTCCTGCCTCAGCCTCCCAACTGCTGGGATCATAGCTGTGCACCACCATGCCGGGCTGCATGACCTCTACTATTGCCCCTGCCCCAGAAGGCAGGCAGAGCAGAAAACAAAGCCAGCACTGCAGCACTGCTGAGAAAGGGCACACAGGCCTGGGTCCTTGATGTGCAACACCAGGTGCCCCTGGCTGCCCTGTCTGCCCTGCATCTGCTCCCACGGGGCTCGGAGGGCTCAATGCCCACTGCCCACAGCCTTACCTTTGCCCTCTTTGGTCTTGGCCTTGCGGATGGGCACAGGCTGGGGCACCTGCTGCGGGCTGATGGCCAGTGGTGGTGCGATGGTGACCGTCTCTACAGCCGCCGCCACGGCCGCCGCCGCCGCCACCGCAGAGCTGCCCTTGAAGGGGTTGTTGGCGCTGAATTCCCGCCACTTGGCCCCCAAGACAGTCATCATTTTGGACATGGGGATCTTCGGGTTCTTCTTGGCAATGAGCGGCCTGTGGGAGCAGAGGCGAGTGGTGAGGGCAGTGCTCATTCCTTCCCCACCCCTGTAGAGTGTGGCACTAGCCTCAGGCCCCTGGTTAGAGAAAGCTGAGGCCAGGCTGCCCCACAAATGCTCCCAGCTCCCTCTTTGTAGGTGCGATTTTCTAAGTGGTTTGAAGATTCAGGACCAGAGAGGACTGCAGCAGGCCACCCATGGGGACAGGGAAGAGACCTGAGGCCCATCAAGGATGAACCCTTCCCCCCAGGACCCAGGCAGGTCAGGAATCGGGCTGACTACACTCCAGGGAGGTGGTCAAGTTAGCACTCTGTCCCCGTGCCCTGGCCAGCCACACACCGGAGGAACTGGCTGAAGGCCTTGTAGTTGGTCAGTGTGTGGTAGTCCTCCTCTGAGAACAGGTAGTCCACATCGTCGAGGCCCCACTCGGCCATAAGCTGCCCCGAGGACTTGGGCTCCTGGGAAAGACAGGGCCAGAGGTGCAATCAGAGGAGGGGCCCTGGCCGATACTCCACCCACAGGGTCCCTGCCTGGTATGCAACTTCGGCCTGGCTTACAGTCTCACCAGTGCCTGAGCCGGTAAGGCACTCCAGATGCCAGTTCATGGGCTCAGGGAGGTCCCAGGTGCCCAGAGGCCCAGAACAGGAAGGCCAGGGAACTGCAGGAGATGAGGCCAGAGCCCAGCCCAGGCCCCTGGGTGATGGCGCTGCTGAACCCAGGCCCCAGGCAAGAGGAATGGTGCTCTCTCCATGGAGGAAAACTTGAGAGTTTGGGTGGGGGGGCGTCCGTGGGGAGGAAGCTGCTGAGGGGTTGCTAAGGTGGCTGAGGAGAAATGAGGCCTCCCCAGGGACTCAGAGCAGTCCTCAGGTCCCCCAAGAGGACAGGGCTGGGTTCTGAGGGCAGGAAGATCCAGGGCAGGACATGGGATAGTGGCCCAGCCAGGGGCCAACCTGAGAGGTCCCTTGGCCACTACCTCACTTTCCAGATAGGGCACGGAGACCAGGGCATCCCAGGGACACCCAGCGGGCCTCGAGGCCAAGTGAGCAGAGGATCAGATGCCCCTGGAGAGCTAGGGTCACACAGGGAGACACGGGAGGTGGGCACCAAGCAGCACAGGTGGCACAGGTGAAGAGAAGTTCGCGCAGGCACAGGAACTGGGACGTGCGGGCGTGTGGTAGGGGCTGATAGCGCCTGACGCAGCTGCCTTGCTCCCCACACCCTGCCTCTTGCAGGCGGCATGAGCTGCCCCATCCCGCTTGTGCTCCTGGGGAGCAGGCCCAGTCCAATCTCCTGCTCCGACATCCCCCCAACTGTTCTGTACCCACTCACTGCCACCCCACGCCTGAGCCTGAAGTAGCTCCCGCAAAGGCAGAGAAAGGGTGCAAAAAAACACCCCTGAGCTGCGTGCCACAGTGCATCCCTGTAATCCTGGCACTCTGGAGGGCTCAGGCAGAAGCAAAAGTTCAAGCCCTGCTTGGGCAACTTAGCAACATAGTGAGACCTTGTCTCAAAATAAAAGGAGTTGAGGGCCAGGGATTTAGCTCAGTGGTTACGGCACCTGCTTCGCAAGCACAAGGTCCAGAGTTCAATCCCCAGTACCAAAATAAATTAATAATTAAATAAGTTAAATAAAAGGGGTTGGGGATCCAGCTCTGGGTAAAGGCCCTAGGTTCAATCCCTAGGGCTGAAAAAAATTCCCAAATGGCAGCACTGGGCCCCACAGCCCAGAAGGCCCAGTGTCCCTCAGTTTTGGGGGCCCTGATCCACCTCCGCAGCCTAGGACTGGGAGCCAGGCCTTCTGCTCCCACAGGGAAGGCCATCCAGGAGAGGCTGTCTCCCCTGAGGCCGCCTGACTCCCCTGCAGGACAGCTTGGGAACTGGCTCTCCACAGCGTGGTGCTGCTCCCACTGGCGCCCACGTGCTCCTGCAGCACACACGAGGGTGACACCGTCACAGGTCACCCTGGGCTACACACTGACTTCCCTGTCCCCACCACAGACAACTCACGAAACCCCCATCCACACACCAGGGTGATCAGCACGCCTGTCTGGGCACCCTGTGATCACGCTCAGCACTGCAGTCCCACCACCCAGCCGCCCTGGCCTCAGTGCCCAGTCGTGCTCGGGGAGCAAGGTACCCCTAACCTTGGAGCTTTGCGCCCGCCACCCACAGTCCCCAAGCAGGACAGGGCCATCAGGTGACCCTAAAGCCTCAGCCCATTTCTCACTTCTTCCCACGTGCACGGGAAGACCCCTGTCCCCACGGAGGCCTGCAGAGGCCCCTTCTGACTCTATCACTGCCTGATTTTCCCAAACTGGTCCAAGCAAGAGGCTCCTGATGGGAAGCCTGGTCTCACACTACCTGTCACTCTCCTGGGAAACAGGTGCGCCCCGTGGAGCCCAGCCAGGACATGAGCAAGATGCTGAGCGCCTCCCTCCACCTGACCAAGGATTTTTCACTGGCTGTGTCAACATCCACACGCACATGCATGCGCACACACACTCACTCACCCTCGTGTCCCCGTGTTGGGAAAGGTCTCCTTAGAGGGTAGAGGACCCGGCTGTGCTTCCATCAGCGCCAAGGCTCTGCAGCCTGGCCCCAGCTGTTACCTTTAAGCATCCATCGTCATTGTCATCCTCATCTTCGTCCTTCTTTTTCCGCTTGGCTTTTTTCTCCTTCTTGTCCTTGAGTTTCTTCTTCTTCTTCTTGTTAGGAGAGTAGTCGCTCCCTTCACTCTCTGACTTCTCCTCCTGATCCTCGTCGTTGTCCGACAGCTCGTCATTGCTCCCCTAGAAAAGGAGGACACAGGCTGACAAGAGGCTCCATGCGAACCTGGGTACTGGGCAGCAGTGACCTGGCCCAGAGGGTTGGTGCACAGTTGGGACCAGTCACCCATTCACAGTCCAGTGAGAGGGGCCACCCCAAGCCAGCAATGGTGCTGTCCCCAGGGAACGGCAGAGTGTGGGTGAGGCGAAACTCTCGGAGACCCAGGCATGGCCCAGGGCAGCTCCAGTCACGGCCAGGCTGCGTGATGGAGCTGCAGCTCGGGAGCTCAGGGTACAGGACGTGAGGTCCAGAGTCAACATCCAAAATGCACAGGAAAACCCCAGAGCAGTGCAGTCGCTCCCCAGATTCACACTCACTGGGCTGCAGCCCTGAAGCTCTCTGCTCATGTGGCATCCTGTGCAACCTTGCAGATCAAGGGAAGCCTGGAATTAATGGCAGGTGCCACTCACCCTCTCATCTCCACTGGCCTGCTCCCCCAAGGCTGCCAGGGCAGAAGCCCACCTTCCAGATACCCTCAAGCCAAAGGCTTCAAGAGGAAACAAGGTAATTCAGGTGGCTCTTAAACTCAGTTTCTCTTAGTTTCCTTTCTCTGCAGGCAGAAAATGGCCCATTTATATGGAGATAAGGGCATTTACAGCCAGAGGGTCCCCACCAGAAAGGGTCTGCCTCTCTCCGAAAGCAGTTTCCTCCCAGCCTTTCCAGACAGGTGGACAGCGCTTCTGGGCTCCTCGGCTTCAGTCAGGGGAGGCTCACACTGCTGCTGCAGTTTACCTGCACACTCAAATGGGGTTCACCGCTCCATGATTGCTGTGAACTGTTCTCAAGGTGAGCAAAGAGAAGATGGGAAGAGATGGAGAGAAAACTGGAGAGATGAAAAATGAGCTCAGGAAACAGCAGTGGGAGAGAGGCAGGCATTGGACAGGAGAGGCAGAAGGAGGGAGAGAGAGGTAGACATGGGGTGGAGGAGGGGCAGAGGTCTGCCTGGAAGAGGGCATCTCTGCCCTTTCAGCCACACTCAGAGCCAAGAAAAGGCTCTGGACAGGAGAGTTGGTGCAGGGGTACAGGGTCCCTGAGATCCAACTGGGAGGGCCCCACCCACCCACATGCGCACTGCACCACCTGGCTCTCCTGCCTCAAAGCTCACAAACCTCCATCCATTAATTGCCAAGTCAGAGGCAAAGGCAACTTCCAGGAGCAGGGCTTGATGGCTTTTCTGGAATCTTGGTGTGCCCCAGAATACTGACTCAGCCACAGGGTGCACTAGGGGCAGCTCCCAGCCCTGACTGCCGCCTGAGCCTGGCTGAGGCAGAACCCTGCTCCCAGGGTCTGGGGAAGGTGAGGGTCAGACAATGACATCCTCTTCCTCTGCGGGTGTCAGAGCCCAGGCAGCTTCGAAGGACCTCCGAGGAGGCACGTGCAGCCCCCCGCCCCCACCCCAGTGAAGGGAAGGATGGGAGGGAGAGGCCACTGGCTCTTCAGCACCACGGACAGAGGCCATGGGCCTGCCTGGGGAGGGGACCTCGGCTGCCTAAGGATGGACCACAGACCAACCAGGGATGAGGCCAGAGAGCCCAGGGATGAGGCCAGGGAGCCCTGTCCCTTGCTAGTCTGGGACTTAAGCAGGTGACCACAGCAACCCAAACCCCAGCTGCCTCATGTCTTGACATTTCATTTAAGCCTTGCTCAAACAGAGGCCATGGGCCTGCCTGGGGAGGGGACCTCGGCTGCCTAAGGATGGACCACAGACCAACCAGGGATGAGGCCAGAGAGCCCAGGGATGAGGCCAGGGAGCCCTGTCCCTTGCTAGTCTGGGACTTAAGCAGGTGACCACAGCAACCCAAACCCCAGCTGCCTCATGTCTTGACATTTCATTTAAGCCTTGCTCAAAGACAGGGGCACAATGGACCTGGCCAGGCCAGAGCCGTCTGACACCAGCAGGCCCTGCTCAAGCACCGGATGCACTTCTTCTCCTGGGACCCAGGACAATCTCCACTCTGCTTGGAGGAAACTGACTAGCCCCAATGCTCTTGCTTCTGCCCACCGGGACTGGGCTTGAGCCATCCCCACAGGGGAACCTGTGACTGGGCATGATGGGATGCTGCTGGGGTGAGAGCAGGGGAGGGAGGGGCCAGGGATGCACCTGATAGGAAGTGGGCACTGACTCAACCCAAGGTGCAGGAGCGTGAGGAGCGGCCGGCAGGGCCCAGAGGGAGGCACAGAGGAGGAGGGAACTGCACTGTCAGCAGGAACAGCAGCCTGTGCACACGCGGGCAGCAGCCTGGAGGGGCCTGCCCAGCATGCTCCAGAGAGCTGAGCAAGACAGCAGCAGGTCGGGAAGGGAGAGGAGAGCAGGCCTGTGCCCCTCAGTGGCCTCCTGGCAACCACCACTGGGGATGCAGCAAGACTTCGGCCTCTCTGCACGGAGGACAAGGAACCGCTTGAAGGGAGGCTCTGGCCTCTCAGGCTCCTGGCCCTGGCCCTTCACTAAGCCTATCTGGCCTCCCCCAAGTGAAGCCCATATGGTCCGAACCACCACCACCTCATCCTACACTGGGCTGGCTGAGGGGCTGCAGAGCTTGTTCAGCTGGGCCTCCTTCCTCTCTCCAAAACCTTTCCCTGAAGAGCAAGGGCCAAGAGGAAAATACATAGAGATGGTTCTGAAAGCAGCTGGCCATGACCCATCAGCAGGACCTGGAGGGCAGACTATCGGCGCCCAAAGGGAAGAAAGGCCAAGCCCAGCAGCACACATCTGTCATCCCAGCCACTCGAGAAACTGAGGCAGGAGACCAGCCTGGGCAGCTTGGTGAGACACTGTCTCAAAATGAAAAGTGCCTGGGATGTAGCTCAGCACTAGAGGGCCCTTAGATTCCATGCCCAGTACCAAAAAGAAAGGAAAAATGACCAAGGACCAGAAGGGGACTGTTCAATAACCTGAAACTTACAAGGGGTTATAACCACAACCCCTCAGGGGAGGAGGCCTGGGCACAGACCAGTAATTCCCTCGGATCTGGTGTCCAATAATCAGCCTCACTGTGGGCTGTGACACTCTGCTGACAGCCAGGCCTCTGACCTTGTCATCGTCCTTTGGCTGCTGCAGGCCTGGACGTGACCCTGGGGAATGTGCCACGGGCTGGAAGAGGACGCTAGAGCTCTGGAATCTCTCCCAAAGCACCCTGGACTCTGAACCCTGTGGGGGGGCACTCTGAGCCCCCTTTGCGCCCACCAAGGACCAGCTCGCCAGCAACAGCTCTGGGGACCTGGGTGGGCCAGCCCCACCGCCTCCTCCTTCCCCCTCCACAGATGTTTCTGGATCAAGGCTTCCCATCTCCTCTCCCCACCCCCTCCACATGCATCTCATCTGCCCAAAAAGGACGCATTTGAACTCTAAGGGAGGGCTGGGCGAGCTGGTCATCCTCAGTTTGGGGTCCTTCAAGATTGAGAGGGAAAAAAGAAAGAATGAAATATGAGCCTTCCCATTCACGAGTGTTATAAACAGTTATAATTTAGCACTGAATAATTGGTTGCTATGGTAACCACTGCAGTACAGGTTGAAATCATTTCTCCCTCCTGCGCTCGGGTCTGACAAGAAGCTTCATCTACATATGCTCAGGTTCCGGCTGCAGCCCGGGTATTTTATGTAAATCAGAATCCATGACTTACTGTCTGCCACCCCCAAACTGATGCTCAGGACCCACCAGTCACATCTTGGGGTCACCCGGCTGCAGACAGAAAGGGCAAAGGGGTACAATTTGCTTGTCTGTGGTGTGGATCCTGATCTGCGGGGGAAGAATCCCAGATCCTCTGGACACAGCACACTGTGGACCCCCTGAGATCCAACAGCCATCAGAGCCAGGATTTCAGGGAGGCAAGGAGGGCAGCACCTCAGCCCTCCTGTGGGCCCCAGCCCACCCCAAGCTCTGCCCCTTTTAAGCACTAGTGCACATCTCAACAGAGAACAAGGGGGCAAGGAGGATGGAGGGGTGGGGAGGGAGATGGGGGGATGTGGTGGGAGGGAGAAGAGAGATTAACTGGGCAGAGACCAGGCTCAGGCCAGAGAGAAACTGCACAAGACTGCAGACAGTCAAGGGTGAGAAAAACGGTACAGAGGCAAGAACAAAAACATGTCTCCAAGAAAGAAAATTTGGGCCAGCTGAGAAAAGGAGGAGCCCTTGGCAGTCATGAGACAGGCAGAGACCTGCCTTCCCCAGCCTGGCCTCTGAGGCCACCCTAACCTGGCACCTCCCACCGAGGACTCTGTCCAGACACCACCCACTCCCAGCCTCCTTCCTGGCCAGGGCCACTGCCCAAGCTACACCCAGCAGGGAGGAGGAAAAAGCCAGCTCTGCCTGGGTGGGGCTCCCACAGGCACCTGTGCACCCTGCAGGGGCTGCTTGAGAAACCCCAGGCCAGGTGGGGTCACCTCTTGGCCTGGCCTCCCCACCAGGTTCCTGGAACTGCTTGAGGGAAAACTGAGAGGCTGGGCAGGGGGCTCCTTCAGGAAGCCCTTGTCCAAGGCATGAGACATCTCGGGGCTAGGGGCAATGGTGGCCACTGATTATGTCACAGCCCACACCTGAAGGTCAAAGCGCTTGCATCCCAGGGCCTTCCACTGGAAACATGGTGAAGAGGCAGGCCACACGTGACCCCTGGCAAGGTCACCCCAAGCCTGCAGAGCTGCGTGGAGGACTAGAGATGGCACCCCAAAGCCCATCAGAAAACAGGCAGGGGTGTCTGGGTCCAGTTGCAAGCAGAGAGGATATGACCCCCACTCCCCACCTGTGGCCCATGATCACCAACCCACCCCACCTGTTTCCAGGGTCAATCCTGAGGAGAAAATGCTACATGCACATTCACACACATGCACACACGAGCAGTCACACACACACACACACACACACACACACACACACACACACACCCCAATCCTGAGTCACAACCTCTCCCACCTGGAATCACTGAGACTCAGAAAGAAAAGGACAAGGATAAGGAAGGCCAGGCTCAGGGCTGCACTGAGGTGCAGGTTTCCTGGCCTCCCCAGCACCCACAGCCTTCTCCAGCTTCCTTTATTATACAGGCTTCACTCAGAGGGATGGAGACTGCCATGGGGCAGCCAGGGAGATGCACAGTGACAGGGTCCAGAGCCAGGGACACGGGGACAGCACCATCCACACAGCCCACAAGCAAGTGACTGTGAGCAGAGGGACCGCATGGCAGTGCCACTGTCCCAGCACAGGACAATCCTGGCGACGCAATGCAGTCAGGGTTGGTAACCGCAGTGCTCAGAGGAGGCTGAAGCAGGAAAGTAATACAAGGGCCAGCCTGGGCTCAAAATAGTGAGGGTTGGGGGTGTAGCTTAACAGCACAGGGTCCTGCATTCAACTGATCCCCTCTACTGCAAGACAGAGGGAAGGGTGGAGGGGAGAAGGAAGGAAAGAAAAGGAAGGAAGGGAGGAAGAGAGGAAAGGAGGAAAATGGGACGTGCCATTTCCGCCGCTGAAAATCACTCGCACACAAGGCTTGACTGCAAACCGGTCTCCCAGGTCTTTCTGCGGCGCCCGCCCACCCTTGCCCTCACCTCTTTCTTCTTCCGCTTCCCCTTGGACTTGCTGTCCTTCAGCTTCTTCGCTTTCTTCTTCTTGGGGAGGCTCACAGGCTCAGTAGGGAAAAAGTCATCGAAGCCTTCAAGACCGCCATCTTCTTCTTCTGGAAGAGCCGGAGGGAGGAGTTACCCACACTTCGCCCCATCACGAATGAGGCACAAAGCCAGAGGGGCCCCCATGCACAGCCACAGCCACTGCGTCCTCCTGGACCCAGTGCAGACAGCCAGCTGGCGTCCAGGACATGATAGTCACCTCACCTCTCCCAGCCTTTCCTACCCTACTCTGCAAGATGCTGCAGCAAAGCAGCTGAACCCCACAATCAGGCGTCAGCAGGGCTCCCAGAGAAGCAGCCCCGCCCCGTAAGCCACACAGCACCTCTCTCTGGCCACGGAGGCCACCCCAAGTGACACCACGCGCTAGGGTCAGAGGAGGGGCTCAGCCGTGTGCCATGACAAGACCCCTTCCGGGAGACTGCACCACACCATGCCCGACGGGGAGTACTCCCCACCACCACAGCACAGGACAGGACTCCAGGCCCAGCCAGCCAGGCACCAGACAAAGGCACTCTGGAGAGCTGCCGCACCCGACACACTGCCAGGAGATTCCTTCACTCGCTCCTGGGCTGGGAAGGCTGAGAGGGAGCAGGCTGGCCTGGGGAGCTGGGAAGCTGTCAGCTGGCCCACAGTGGCTGGGCCACCCTGCTCACTTCCAACTTGAGGGACTCCTGTGTGTAGGGGACATGCAGGCTGGGGCCTGACCCCAGCCCAGGATGCCAAGCAGAAGGTGCAGCCCACAAAGGGTCCTCTTGGGGTACACGGAGCCCAGACACATCACTCAGAGATGTGTCCACCCACGAGGGGGAAGACAAGGGAGCTGGAACTGGCCTGTCCTCGGCCCCTCCAGTGTGCTGTGAGGGGCTGGGGGATCTTGGGGGGCAGCAGGGAGGCAGCAGGCCACCGGGAAGGGCACTCAGAGGCTGAGCAGCACCAGTGCACTGCCTCACCGACCCCAGCCAGTGACCCTAAGGAGAGGGGTCCCGGGCTTCCCAAGGGACGTCCATTCAGAGAGGGGCCCCGCCAGCGTTGTTACAATTCTGCTCCTTCAACCTAGTGGCCGGCCGTGGGTGTCGCACAGTGCAGACTACAGGCAGCAGACACAACAGGCACCCACGTGGAGATGTGCGTGCCCAGGACACATCCAATGTTCCTCACGTGCTCCTTGACAGTGCCCATGCCGGCCCAGACCCCAGACCTGCCCCCAGGGACAGACCATGGCTGCAGCTCTGGCCACACACCCTGCTCCCAGAAGACACTGGGGCTCTGGGGGTCAGAAAGGGGTCTCTCCCACCCTTGCATCCCAGACCGTAGGGCAAAGTGGCATCATGGACTGCCCGGCATCCCTTGGCCTTGGGCTCCGTCTAGGCAGCAAGGCCTGTCTTGCCCGGGGCCTCCAGGAGTGCACAGGACCCTGCCCATCTGGAGAGGGGGCCAGAGGGGTGTGTCCTGCCTGGCAGACAGGGACACGATGGCCTCAGCAGGGCTCCAGCACACAGACTGACTAGGGCTGCCCCAGAGTTGGCCTGATGCCAGGGGTGGCTGAGATTGTTCAAGCCAGCTGGCTGTGTTACCCCAAGAGTCATTCCGGAGCGGAGGAGACTGGCAGCAGCAGTCAGGGCTAGCAAGGAGCTGGGTGGCCAACAGGACACCAGTCCTCACCTGTCCACTGCCTGGGCTGCACAGCCAGGGAGGGCAGAGCCACCCCACCCCAGCTGATGCCGTTATGTAACAGCTCTGGGCTGATGCAACACTGGGGGGCCTCCCTCCTCCCCTTCCTCTGGGCTGTGCCCCCCCCAACCAGCAGGGGTCTGTAGACAGGAAGCCAGCCCAGCACACAGTCCCTGACTGACCACCTGACCCACCAGGAGAGCATACCGAGCAGAAGGGAACCTGCACAGAGGCCCGGGGTGGCCCAGTGTGGGGAGTAGGGTGTTCGTACCAACCCGACCCACTCCAGATGGGTCCTTGTCCGTGGACAGCCCCTCCTCCACTCCGAGGCCCTAGCAGCCATGGCCATCTGCCTGGTAAACCCCCTCCAGGAAGGTTCCAGAACAGGCCCCGAGGGTGGGGACAGGGCCCTTCCTGTCCACACATGGCCTTGGTGGCCCTGAGGACACCTTGAGGACACCACCACCCACACTCTCCATGGAGCCAGCCCCTGACCCGTCTACCCTCTCTGCCCCTTTCTCCTTCCAAAATAGGCCCTAAACCTCTTAAGACCAGGCCTGGGACTGGCCATGGGAGCAGCCTCACCTCACCTGAGCCCCTGTTCTGTACTTGGGAGCCCTGCTGTACTCCTCACCACCAACAGCAGTGGCAGGGCAGAGGGGTGAGGGGCTCCCCGCTGCCCTTCTGGCCTGCCCTGCCCTGCCTGCCGTCGAGGGCCAGGGGACCTGCCGCCGAGGGCCAGAGGACCTGCCACAGCTTCCTCCTAAACCCATCCAGCTCCTGCACACCCTCTGGTCCGCCCCTCAGGACTCTCCCCACCCTCCAGTGGTGCTGCACAGTTGCTACCCACATGCTGCCTCACTCAGTGCCACCCACTGAGCCTGGCAGACAGGACTGTGCTCCCAGCAGGGCACCCTGGCACTGTCATCCCAGCACTCTTGAAGGCTGAGGCAGGAGGGTCAACAGCTCAAACCCTAGCAACTTAGTGAGGCCCTGGGATGTAGCTCAGCACGAAGGCCCTGGGTATCCTCAGGAACAAAACCAAAACAAAACAAGACAAAGCTAGCACTCCACACACATGTGAGGTGGATACAGGCTCACAGATACCCATCCACTGCCCTGATCTCAGTTTGGCAGCTGGCAGGTGGCGATGCCACATCTGAACCCAGGCAAGCAGCTTCCACCACCCTGAGAGGTCTCTTCCTGCGCCGGCCCCCAGATGTCAGATCCTTGGGCCCCACCCTGGGGACACAGAGGTGAGGAGCCCAGCACTGGTCCACACCCTCACACTCAGGGTTCCACCCAGCAGGCCCAGCCCTGCCTCCCTGGGAAGGGACGGTGGCTGCGCCAGGAAGCAGCTGCCAAACAGTTGCAAAAAGAAAAGCATGTAACTGTGGAGAGAAAAACAAGGCCAGCCATCTGATTCGTGGTGGTCAAAGGATATGGGGGGCCGAGCCAGGAACAGGGCGGGAGCTCGGTGGCCAGGACAGTCCCGGCACAGCACCTACCTGAGCTCCTGGGGCAGGAAACAAGTATACCTGGCATCACCAGGACAGGGGGGTGACACAGGGCTTCCAGACACCACCCTCCCAGGGTGAGGTGACCCCACAGGTCCCTTCCTGGCCAGGACTCTCACTTCATCTGTAAACTGGGCGTCAGACTGTGACCTTTCTCTGGGTCAGTGGAGAGAATTAGAAACTAAAGAAGTCAGAGGCTGTGCCCAGGAGGAGCTCAGAGTGTGGGCTGGAGGAGGGCAGCAGCACCCTGGGGGGTTGGGGGGCTCTGGCTTGGAATTGTGGGGCCCGGAGTGCTGGTTTAGGGGGAACCTGGACCAGAGTTGCCTTAGACTTTGCCCCTCCCCCACATCTCGGCCTGTGCTGGCGAAGCAGCACCCACCCAAGGGGTGATTAATAATTTATTTATGACATTTAACAAAACCCAGACATCACCTCACTGGCGTCTCATCAAAAGAAAGTATGGAGAGGGAGGGGAGGGGGCAGAGCAAGTGCTAGGGCCTAGGGATGTGGTGCAGGGCTGGGCAGGCAGGGAGAGCTGCCACGCAGGCCCAGGGCATGGGCAGCAGGCAGAAAGGCCAGGAGCAGTGGGCATGGGGACAGTTCTGGAGATGCGGGGAGGGATGTGGACAAAAGAGAGACAGAGACATCAGAAAGACTGAGAAAAAGAGCTAGAGAGGGACAGAGTGAGAGAAAGACAGGGAGGGACTGGGAGATAGAGACAGGGCCACAGCCACGAAGAAGAAAGTTGCAAGGGTTTTCTGCAGAAAAGCTCCAGAAAGTTGAGATACCATGCAGTGTGTTCAGTACGTGGCTCAGAGATACTTAAGGAAATTTGTGTTGGGTGGGTGGATGGTGACAGACGGAAGGACAGAGGTAGAGGGATAGGTGGATGGATGGGCAGATGAGGTGACAGATGAGTTTATACATGGTAGACAAACGGCTGCTGGGTAGACAGGTGGATGGACAGATGGATGGTAAACAAATGGGTGGACAGAGGAGTTGACACACAGATGGCAGATAATGGGTGGAAGGTGGATGGACGACAGGTGATAAGCCGATGGATGGATGGTGAGTAGTGACCAGCTGGTTGGTTTTCTGGTAGATAGGTAGGTGTTTGGGTGGACAAGTGGATGCATGGATGGAGGGACGAGTAGCTGGGTGGGGAATTGAATGGACTGATGAAATAAGCCCTGAACCTTGGTCTTCGATCAACTTGGAAGGAGAATGTAGAAGCCACTGGCCAAGGCACTGGGGAAAATGTGCTTGTTCCATGTCACCCTCCTCCCAGAAAGGGCATTAAAATAAGGCTCCCTGGAAATCTGTTTCAAGCCCATGCTTCTCAAAAGGTCAAGGGGGCTGAGGCAGGAGGAATGCCTAGAGTTCAACGCCAGCCTGAACTACATATCGAGACTCTGTCTCAAAAATAAAATAAAATAACAATAAAAAAGAGCAGAGCTGAATTTTGAGGCCTCCTCCAGCTGTCTTCCCCCACCATCAACCACCTCAGTACTGGGGATCGAACTCAGGACCTCGTTTGCGAGGCAGGCACAGTGCCACTGAGCTAAATCCCCAGCCCTTTCAGCTAACTCTTAAATGCTCTCTTTGACCAGCCCTCTCCACTGCCACAAGATTTGAGAGCCTCATCCCTGAGTCAGAAGAGGGGGGCACCCATCCCACTTCCTCTGTGGGGCCGCTCACCCACCCGCCACAGGCAAAAGAGATGGTCAAGATGGCAGGAAACAAGGTGACCTAGAGGCAAGTGAGAGCCACTCCAAAGAGGAGTGGAATCCAAAGAAAAGATGTGACTGGTGACAAGTCCAACACTGGACTTAGAAATCAGCTTGGCAGCTCCTCCAGCCACAAACAGGTACACCCGGAGCCAGCCAGCTACAAGCCGATGGGGGCCACTGCCACAGGCCTGGGCCCCACGCTGCAGAGGGGCCCGGATGAGGGTTAGAGGGCCAGCAGCACTTACGGGAGGCAGCAGCCTGGCTGGGCTGCTACCATATCCAGGACCCTAGGGTCCCGTACCCGAGACACAGCCATCCGTGGGCACCCTGGGCTCTAGGGGCAGGGCAAGGCAGGTGAACAAAGGCATCCCACTGGAGGAGAAGGCCACCAACACAGAAGCAGGCAAAACATTCCAGAAGGCAGAAGTGCTGTCAAGAAAAGCCAGACTTGGTGGCACTTGCCTGTGATCTCAGCACTCTGGGAGGCTGAGGCAGGAGGATGAAAAGTTTCAGCCCAAACCAAGCAACTCAGTGACAAAGAGATCCTGTCTCAAAAAATGAAAAGGGGGGGGGCAGGAATTTAGCTCAGTGGTGCCACTGCCTGTTCAAACCCCAGTACCAAAAAAAGAAAGAAAAAGAAAAAGGGCTGGGCATGTAGCTCAGTGCAAAGGCCCTGGGTTCAATCCCTAATACCATAAGAATTAATAAATTAATTAATTAAACTCTCAAAATACTTGAGGTATAGCACAGTAAAAGGCTCTGACTTCGATTCCCAGTACCACCCCCCCAAAAGGAATTTGTAATTACAAAAAATAGAGGAAAAAGAAGCAAGCATTAAAAGAGGTCTATTTGACAGTCCACAATGGAGCCACACTGGAGCCAAAGGACCAAGGAGGAGAACCAGTGAGTAGAGGTCACAGGCGGGGCCCAAGGGCAACATGGAGCCCACAGTGTTCCAGAAGCTACTCGGGGGCCACCCAGGGAGCTCAGGAATCCTGGGGGTGGACCATGCAGGTCTGGCTGTGGGTCAGCAGTCAGCAGAGAGGCTGGGAGGGCATCAGGTGCCTGGGCTGGTGAGGGCCAGCAGCAGCACAGGTCTGAGGGCCCAAGGGCAGCGTTCCTCTGCAGGTTCTGGGGACAACCCCAGGACAATCCCTGGCGTCAGGGACAACAGGGTGCAGGTGGGAGGCTTGGGCCAGTACCCAGGCCCTCTGACCACACAATGGTGCCCCCCAGCCTGGGAAGGGGACCCCAAGCTCCT